ATAGTGTATGAAGTTCTCGTAATTGATTATTTGTTTTCATAATATGTACATTTTCAGGAAATTGATTATCATTTATTTCTTCATGTATACCATTCTCTTCTATTATATGATTAATATTATTTTCTATTGTAGTCATCTAAAAACAATTCAACATAAAAAAATAAAAGTAAATTTCCATTTTGCTCGTATAAATAAATTTTTTGAAGAAATTTTTTTTTTTTCTTTATTTTTTCGGTTGTCCATTAATGGTTACAACAATATTTCGACTTCTAGCACGATTTCTATGTTCACATAAATATATACCTTGCCAAGTACCAAAAGCTAAATGTCCCGATGTAATAGGAATATTAATAGATGCACCAAGTAAAGAACATTTTGCATGTGCTGGCATATCATCTTTACCTTCATCTAAATGTTCATAGGAATTATCTTCAGGTACAAGTTTATTGAATATTGTTTCCATATCAACACGTACATCAGGTGCAGCATTTTCATTAATCGATAATGATGCACTTGTATGTTGAATAAATATATTCATTAAACCAATTTCAATTTGTTTTATTTCAGGTATTTGTTGTAAAATTTCATTTGTTACTAAATGAAAACCACGTTTTTTTGGTGATAATGTTAGAATTTTTTGATACCATGCCATCTACAAATTAAAGATAATCTTACAGAATTTTGCCTAGATTTAAAAAAAAAATCGTCTTCATATACACATCAAGATAATCATAATAGTCAATTATAGTTTGTTTGTAAAAGAAGGAGACGACAACAAAAAAAAAAAAAAAAAAAGAAAAACTAAGTTTCATAACAGGCACACAGAGTAGAATTTAAGAAGCACAAAAAACAAACAAAATTTCAATTGCTATGCATTATTGCACATAAATCGTGCGACAAGAACGAAAAACAAAATTTTATCACTGTTGGAATGTCATTCATATATGATTAAAACAGTTTACACAGTTCGTCGATCAGTAAGAACACGTACAATCGAACCGAGACCAGTAGCTGCAAGAACCTTTAATGAAATAAATTTAGAAAAAAATTTTTCTTTTCAAAATATACAATAGAATACCTTTTCGTGCCATGTTAATAAAGCACTACTTGAATAATCTTTTGGATTTTCAAAACCTTTATAAACATATTTCATCAGTGTATCACGTAATGGTACAGGTATTGAATTAACAGCATCTGATATTTCACTTGTTTTTATTTTCATCATTGTTGATAATGCCATATGAGCTGCTTTTTTCTATAAAAAAAAAACACATATTTATTTAATTAAAATTTTTTTATATTATAGATGGATTTATAAAAACAAAGAGATGTGTTCTATTTTGAATTATCTAATAAAAGTTATTTAATATGAACATAATTGGATGTGAATATTAAAAAACAAATTTCTTCTTCATATATTACGTAATTAACAAAAATATGATATTTTATAGATTTATGAAAAAATTTCAAGAAAAAAAAAAAACTTTGAAGAGACAGCCTCATTAGCAAGTAGCACTAGAAAATGTATATAAACTAGTCAAAAAACTTGGCATCGCATTTTTTAGTCATGATGTACGTTTTCTGATTATAAGAATTTTTGTCTATGATTGGATTTAATTTATAATCATGAAGTGTTTTTTTTTTCTTGCTTATATTTTTGTAATACAAAATATATATTGAACGCATGATACAACAATGAATCTTATTGGAATTCGAGTGAACTTTAGTTAATTAACAAATGTTCACATGTACGTCGGAATCATCGAATCACATAAATAGTAGTCGGAGGTAACTAGCATATATGATCAACATACTCTACCGCTCTTCATTAGAGCATAATTGAAAGATGAGCAGTGTCATCTAATACTGTGTACTTATAGCAATGTAATGACATTGACTAAGGTCGTTGTGGAACTCTTGTAATTGTGTCAGAATCAACATAAGATTACAAAGTGAAGAATAATTGTTTTACATCTGAAGATAATTGCAAGACTCGGTAGATATCTTATTGGAAACATCTAACTAAACAAAAAAAAAAACAAACTTAATTCTATACATACTTTTTTTTCTGGATCTTTCGCACGTACTGGTGCATTTTGTAAAACATATTCTAAAGCACGAACATATTTCATACTAAAACGAAGTAATTCCAAAAAAGCAAAAAATAATTATAATCAATAAAAAAATAAAATAAACATACTCATCAATAAATTTTTTCCATTCATTTTCATCTGGTTCAACAATATTTGTTGATAAATCATCATCTTTATCATCAATATGATTTGTCATTTTTAATCTGAAATAAACAATGCATTTCAAGATCAAAAAAAAAAAAGAATTACAACAAAATTCATATCAGATGATTCTATACGCTTATTTTCACAAGCTAAAAACTTCTACAGCAAAAAAAACACAAAATGAATGTGTAAGAGATAGAAAAACAAAAATAAGCGTGTGTATATGTGTTAAGGAAATTGGAGGAAAGGACATGTCTTTTCTTTTCATGTGAAATTCTATTTTAACCTAAAACTTTTTTCCAATGTCGTTCTTCATCTTGTTCACGTTCAATTTCAGCAAGAAATGGTTGTAAATAAGGTACATCCTGTTCATATTGAACCCATTCATCTTTTGGTAAAAACATTCGTTTAATATCAAAATTAATTGCTCGTGATATACGAAATGAACGTTCATCCCATACTTCAGGTTCACTTATACGTAAACGACGCATAGCTTCTTTAATAGCAGAATTATCACCATAAAGTCGATCATGTTCCATGAGACCTAATTTATAATGATTTGTTTGATAATATTGAAATTTTCGATATTGTTCTTTAAGATTAGCTGGTTCACGACGAATTTGTTCGCCGAATATACGACGACCGAATTCCAATGTTGCTAAAAAACAAAAAGATAAAATTAAAAATATATGAATGAAGATGAAATATCTAATAGCTAACCTTTATTAACAAACTTTTGTGTTGTCATTGGTTTTTTTTGATATATATATGTTATTTATCAAGAAAATAAATCTAGAAGAAAAAAAATATTCCCGTTACATATTGAGTTTTCCTAGTAAATTAGAGCAACTGTAGGTGTAAATTGAAAAATTCTTTAATGCTTAATATGTTTTATTCGTTACTATTCTAACACGATAAACTGATGATAGCAAAAAAAAAACGGTTTTTGTTACGATCAATTCCACTTTCCTATGAAGCAAATTTTTGATCAATAAACAAAAAAAAAAGCTAAAAATGAGTCATTAAGAAAAAGAAAATACTATATCATTATTAGCGATATCTATCGAAATTTAATTAAATCATCGTTTGATGATTATTTTCTTAAAAAAATACTTTTTAAAATTTCGAGAAATTGTTTTTTTTGAAATTAAAAATAAAATTTTCTTTTTTTTTTTGTATTTTTTTAAATATGATATCATTGGTTAAGAAACTCGAAAAAAGAAAGAAAGCAACAAATAATTGTTTTTTCTGTTTGCATACCTGATTGTTAAACATGTTTTCACATTATTTTAATACATCTGGTGACATATCTTTAAATAATTCAAGTATATTTCTTCTGATCTTACAACAATAGTAAGAAAAAAATCAATTGTCATTTCAACTAGAATAAATGAAACAGAAGACATTTCATTTGGGAATATTTGATGATGAAGTTTAAAAAATCTTAAAAGACTTCTTTTTAAATTTAATACGTCGAATGTTTGAAGATGGTAAAATTATTTATACTCAATGACTCAAGTAGTTATTTAGTGTTTGTTATCATAATATCGAGTTAGCTATTCTGTTTTAATTGAGAATTATTTTCATTAATTTATTTAATTAGACATTTTCTTTATTCATCGATGATATGAATGCCAATGGAAGTAGGAATATTTTTAATAACACGCGTAAGGTAAGAACTATTCGAAATTTGAGTAAATCTTTTTCTCCCTATAAAAGTTCGAATACTTCATACTTACAATAAGTTTTGATCCTAAATAGTGACTGTACGATTTAATACCAGGGTTGTTAGTTGGTTTTGAATATGACCTCTTGTTTATTATGTTTTTCTGGCATCTCGGATAAAACCTACAAAATGCACTATTTTTTGTCTTTCAATCATGTATGTCAACTCATTTTTCATAAATACCCATTTTTTAAAAACCAACAACGGTTTCATATTGAAAGAAGCTCTTGAAAAATATACTTGTAGCCTCACTTGAGTGAATGCTATAGTTTAGATCAATATCATATTTTTGTAGAGAAATATCTATTTTACAAAGTGACTGCGTCCGGCAATTTCTCGCGTGTTCGAGAAAAGGCCTAAACAAAGACTTGTTAGTTCGCCATTAAAAGTCATTTTTCAGGTCTTTTCGAAAATAGACAAACTATTTAAAAAAATTCTGATCGCATCCTTTATTTTTTTTTGTTGCTGGTCTGAAATGCTTTCTAGCAAATTAAACTAAACAAAAAATGTTCACCGGGAACGTTGACATATAATTTCTATGCAAACGAATTTTTTGAACTTTTCAAAGATTATTTCACTACTCTCAAATAAAAAGTACGACAACATTTCTAGCGTCGTATTCAAAATGAGCATCATAACTCATAGCTTTTGACTTGTTAGAAGTGAAGAAAAACTCTATGTAAAAATCTTCCCGATCAATTGTTATTAGATTAAATAAAATTTATTTTAATTGAATTAATTATTCTTTTTCAGGTATGATTGGTCTTTTCACAGCTGTCATCAAAACACGTTTTTCACTATTGTCATTTACAATGTTTTTGAGTAGTTCATTAAATCAACCTATTGTTTTTGGTATTGATTAAATTTGTTTTCAATTTGGGAATTTTATATGTTTCTCTTACAATACAAAATAAGAAAACAATCAGATAAAGCAATATTTTCATTGTTTTTCTTCTATATTATTTAACAGAGAATAAGAAAAAAATTATTTTTGTTATGAATTTTTAGTTTTTTAGATAATTCGTTCTTATTAAATCATGGCCGATGCTGGTTTTTTTAAAGGAACATCGGCTGAACAAGATAGTCGATTTGCAAATAAACAAAAGAAATTACTCAAACAAATGAAATTTCCAGAGAATATCGATACTAAAGTAAAATAGAATTTCACTTCCTTTTTCTCTAATATATTTATTTTTTTTTTTATTCTTATATAGATTGATATGTCGAAAGTTAATTTAGATGTTATTAAATCATGGATAACAAATCGTTTAGAAGATTTATTAGGTTTGGAAGATGATGTTGTTATTGAATTTGTTTTTAATCAACTTGAAGATAAAGTTTGTTTAGAATTTTTTTTTTTTATTTGTAAATGTTTATTTAAATCTTATTTATTTTATTAGAGTCCGGATCCAAAAATGATGCAAATTAATTTAACTGGTTTTCTTGGTGGAAGTAAAGCTCGATTATTTATTGGAGAACTTTGGAATTTACTAGCTAGTGCACAATCATCAATTGATGGTATACCAACAGAATTGGTTGAAATGAAAAAAAAATTTTTACAAAAACAAAAGGTATACTTTGATTTTTTAATCGATATTTCTTTTTTTAATCAGAAAAGAATAATAACTGATTATTGGTATTGTCACTTACCGTATTATCGAATAAATCAGCAAGCATAAAGAAGTCTTGTTTAAAGGTGATTCAGTGCAAATGTTGGATACCTCAAGCAAGAACAAGTTGCACATGAACAAATTGTCCATAGATGAAGAAAAAGAATCTTCAACAGTGGTGGCGCCACAGGAGAAGGGTTGAGCTTCTCCTTGAAAATTCTAAAAGTTCTTGTTTAGTGTGGTCCATCCGAAAGTCTGAATTAATACAAGTTCTCAAAGGATTTTGCATGTCAAATATCATGAGGTAAAAAGCAACAAGAAGTTTCGACATGATGTTCTCAGCATTTGCACATAACGTTACTTTCACACTAGAGTTCCAAAGCTAGTCCAGTTTTTAGGCATACGCTATCTCAAAACAAAATCATCTGTTTGTGATCAACGTTTCAGGATATTATAAGAGTCATGAGAGGAATTGTTGCCAAGAATGTCGAGCTAAAACTTCTTATTGCGATTCTTCTTGTGATATCCTGCAATAGGCTGAAAGTTCAGTACAATAACGCAGTTTCATTCAAAACTCAATCACCTAGTGAAATCTCAATAGAAACCGAAGTTTTCTTAGAGTTTTTATTAGAACACTATGTAGTGTATCTGTAGACAGAAAAGATTATTGAAACCGAAATGGGACATCTGACGAGGTTTCATCGTCAATCTCTTCCGGCGAAAAATCCTTGTTTCGCTACTAGTCTTTAATATTTTTGAATCAATAGATTTCATTTCATTTTATTTTTAGGAAGAAGATGACCATTTACGTGATACACGTAAACGTGAAGAAGAATCTTATCGTCATGACTCGAAAGGTGACAGTGATAAACTTAATGGTCGTAATCAAGTATCATCATCAAGTAGTAGATCACGTCATGAAAATGGAAATAATCCTGGATACAAATCACGATCAAATTATGATGATGATCGTCGTGATCGAAGACGTCCAGATAATCGATTTGACCGACGACGTTCACCACCTCCTCGAAGTCGTCGATCACCATCACCTCCATCAAAAAAACGTCGATCACCTTCGCCACCTTCTAAAAGTCGTCGACCATCATCTCCACCATCTAAAAAACGTCGATCCCCTTCACCACCACCCAAAAATCGTCGATCACCGTCACCTCCATCAAAGAAACGTCGATCACCTTCTCCACCTCCTAAAACTCGTCGATCGCCATCACCACCATCATCTAAAAAGCGCCGATCACCTTCAACTCCACCCAAAGGCCGACGTTCACCATCACCACCACCGAAAGGTCGTCGATCGCCATCGCCACCACCCAAAGGTCGTCGATCACCATCGCCACCACCCAAAGGTCGTCGATCACCATCGCCACCATCCAGAAAACGTCGATCACCTTCGTCACCACCGCCCAAGAGCCGTCGATCACCATCTCCACCATCCAAGAAACGTCGATCACCTACTCCACCACCGAAAAATCGTCGATCACCATCTCCACCATCAAAAAAACGTCGATCACCTTCGCCACCACCAAAAAACCGTCGATCACCATCTCCACCATCGAAGAAACGTCAATCACCTTCACCAGCACCCAAAGATCGTCGATCGCCATCTCCACCACCTAGAAAACGTCGATCGCCTTCACCACCATTCAAAGGTCGTCAATCACCATCGTTGTCATCCAAAAATCGTCGATCACATCATTCACGAAGTCCAGATCCAAGATCACGGTTAGTCAAATAATTAATTATTTTATACTTTCTAAAAATTTCTAATTTTAGACGTAAGGATATAAAACCATCACCAGTTGCATCATCCGTTTCAAGAAAAGATGTTTACAAAAAACCTACACGATCTATTTCAAAAAGTAGTGAAAGTGAAGATGATCGTCAACGTCAATCTCGTTATGATAAATCTAAAAGAAATTCAACATTAAATCAACGTGATCGTCGTCATTCATTATCACAATCTCCAAAACATAGCCGAAGTCCAATGAAATCACGAAAAAGTGAACCAATAAAAAATCGTTCACCATCACGATCATCAGCATCATCATCATCGTCGTCATCATCTATGGAAGCACCACCAAAACCAATAAAAAAGCCTTTGAATCAAAAACCAAAACCTCGTTCACCATCAACAAGTTCAAATGCGAGTCAATCACCATCACCACGACGTCCAACGTCTCAACGTAATGATAAATTGGCTCGAAAAAAATCAAATGATTCATCTGATGATTATAAAGAAAAAAAACGACACAAAAGTAACGATTTATCGAGTGGTGATGATGATCAACAAAAAGATCAATCATCTAAACGTCCAATCGAAAAAGAACAATTAATATCAAAATCTAAACAAAAATCACCCACACCACCATCATCACGATCACCATCACCTTCTCCATCACCATCGCAAACGCTAAAGAAAACAGCTTCCGCTTCATCTAATATCGATAAAGTTAAATCAAATGTATCACCACCGATGAAAGAATTACAAAAGAATAAAAGATCAACTCGTTCACCATCTGATAAATCATCATCGGGATCAAGTTCAAATTCTTCTTCATCAAGTTCAGAATCATCAGGTTCATCATCAGAATCCGAATCGGATGATGATAAAAAACCAAATAAAAGTATGTTTAACACAACTTTTTGTTGAAAAATTCAGGAAAAAATTCTATATCTCAAGAACGAAGGTCCAGAAAAGCAAACTATTCTAAACTTTTCTATTAGTAATTAGTACCCATAACATAAACATCGTCTAGGTTGCAAAGCAATTTGACACCTGGAGAAGTTCTCATATTAATGATACACCGTAGTACTTGATAATACATAATACGTTTACTTTTTTGTAATAAAAACAAATACATATTGTCTTCTTTTATTGATAGGATCACCATCCGCTAGTAGCGATTCATCAAGTCGATCACGATCACCAACACCTGGGCGTACGAGAAAAGAAGATAAAAAATCGACTAAACCTAGGTAAACCCGAATTTCAACTGGGCAAATATTCATCAAGACAATTATTGTAAATGTTAATTGATCTCCATTATATTTTTCTTTTCAACATATTAATATCTACAGCAGCGAAAACAAAAATTAATTGTATTCTCAATTATTTTAATTGAGAACATTAAAAAAATTATGAACAAGTGAAGATTCGCTTGTATATATTTTCTTGTCTTTTTTTTTCATTCATCTCTGTCATCTTCATCTTGTCTCTTTTGTTCCCTGTCTGTTCTTCACTATTTTTTTGTTGTTGTTGTCTTTTGATGAACATAAAATAAAAGAGAAAGTACAAAAAAGATTATTATTATGAATTCATCATGGTAGGAAATCTAAAAACGAATACATGAATTAACCGAAGTTTAAAATGATATTATTAATTGATTTATTTAAGTAGTAAATAGACATGTAAGCCAATGCATTGATTGGCAGCGACAATGTTGGAAATTTTTCGATAAATCTATAAGAGATTTTTTCTTGAGAAATTGTGAAATGAAAAAAGAAAAACGACGGTAAAGAACTTATTGACTAGAAACCCGACGGTAACATCTCCAAAAGCTGATTTGGAATATCAAGAATTTTTAAAAATCAAATATCTACTTTTGTGTCAGTCGTTGCAGCGTCAGCTGAATGTAACATCATCGAATAAAAGAAGAAAAACGTCTTAAACGATCACAAATAATTATTACATAGTTTTCTTTAAAGCCTATTTATAATCAATGAATAAAATTCTCCTTAGCTTTTCAGACCTACATATCTGTTAGATAAAGATTACTTCACACAAAGCCATTTACATTATGATATCTTATGAAATAGTAATCAACCTGTGTATGTATGTTTGAGTGAGAATCACTACATATATTGTTTACTATCATATACCAACGACCTCATCAACCACACGCCTTTTAAATTCTTCGATGCCGCTCTCATTCATCGGGTTAATCTCAATAGTGTGTTTTACATCAGTTTGTTGTTCAAACAATCTGGCTTTTTTTGGTGAAACACACGTACGTATTTCATGTCTATATAGTTCTGATACACTTTATTGATGATGTGAGGTTTAATATAAGACACGCACTATAATTAAATAAATACATTATTTCTCAAAAATGTTTTTCGATCTATCACTGAAGAGATAGAAACTCAATCAGATCTGACACGAACAATGAATGGAAAGTGTGACTTTTACGTAAACGATCTTTGAGAGTATATCTCTTATGAATTGGTCTTGAAAAGCGTGTCTCCTGCATTGTGAAATCATTTAATAGTACAAAAGACAAGGAGCTTTTATCATTTCATTATGTATGATGCAGATGAAGATATCTACTCAATTCTATTTTTCAAGATACACGCAAGATTTTTTTTGTTCGAATGAATTTTCGACTTTAGTGAAATTTATTATGAAACTTTATTTGCATATCTTTATTGTTGTTCATCATCACAATCACCCTGATGTTAAACCTGACCACCATCACCATCATTATCGTTGAATATATCAATAGATATGTATAATTGGAAATTAAACTCATTTTTTATATTCTGCTGTAATATCATTAATCATAAATTATCTATGGAATTGTTTTTGTTAATAACTTTTACAAAAATTGAAAACACATACGAACAAAACCTCTTATCTTCCGGTTAGAAAATGAATTCTCATATGTATCTTGCTCTGCATTATGTACAATTAAATATAGAAACAAAAGTCCCATTGATATAACAACGATAATAATAAGTGTTTATTTTTGTAGAGTGAGAATGTTATCTATGAAATTCTTCATAAACAGAGTAATGTCCTTGTGATGGTGGATGTAAAACAGATAGATTCAGTTATGTATGAAAATATATCGCTTGAGATTACGTTTTACTAAGATTATGCTTTTGAACAACAAGCAATGGCGTGTGCAAGCCTAATTTATTGCCCGTTCTGTGAATTGAGTACAAAAAAATAAGCGGCTTATTCGTATGATGTATAGTCTAGCGTACATTCAACTGACTCTTCATCACCATTCATTAATCCGTTAAGACGATGAGATACAGAGAAAGCAAAATGACAGTAATACTTGTATGAAGTCAACACACTGTATGATTATTACTTCATGCTTCATTAATCCATATATAGGCATTTATACTCAAATATCATGATTATTTTACAATGTATATATAGACAATACACTGTTTCATTTTCACTCATAGAGCAACGTTGACGGATTAAACAGTTTAATCCGACAATAAATCGAAAACTGAGCTTATCATTGGAGCTATAAATAAAATGTCGCTCCAACTCCGCTCCAGCTCCACCGTTCTGATGAATCGCTCCGCTCCGCTCTCGCTCCTGGAGCGGAGCTGGCTTCATGGAGCGATCGCTCCGGAGTCGGAGCTGCCCATCTCTGCATACCATGAATCTTTACAAAAACGTTTGTTACAGGTGTTCTAGAACAATTAGCTGGTTTTAGGAAAATTTCGATTACTTCAAACCTATTTTATCATTTAGTCATGCAGAAATAGTCGGTTATTGAGGAAAATGTTATTTTTCATGCACATTACGAGAATCATCATCTTTTGTTGGTACTTCGGACACAAAAATTTTCTTATTTAAGAACTCGAACATTACTCATCATTAATATTTAAGTAGTTTTTAAGTATAAATAAAGCCATGAGTTATAAGAACTTCAAGTCAGTAATTATCTCTTTGTTCTACATATCTTTTTTCATCCATGATTGGATGAATGAAAACTTACTAGATTACTATATTACTTTTTTCTGCAATCATAATGATATTGTACCTAGTTTAGAACTGTAGTTGTTCACAAGTAAGTTTCACTTTTGTGAATATTTATCATTTTTTTTATAGGTTATTTTAATGAGAGACGTATGATAATACACATGACTTAATCTAAACCGTTTGAAATTTACAAAGTTCATATAAATCGAAGTCTTCATTATTTTTACATCAAAATATTATTGGTTTGAACTTCAATCGGAAAACATCAAGACGTTTTTGGAACTTATCTCATGAAAACACAAAGAAAGTTAGCCAGTGTTTGGTATGCATGCTAATCGTCAAGTTTTAAGAATTCGAATAATATGTTTAATTGTATGTTCTTATAACGTAAAAAAAACGCAATGTTATTTTACGTATAATCGATAAGTACTTTGGATTCTATGGAAAGAATCTGTTGTGCCATAGTTTGAATGATATATACATACATAACTGGAGCACCAAAATTACCTTCCATAATGTAACTTTTCATTTGAATCACAGTATATGATGACATATGACATCTTATGTAGAAATGTTTGCTTTTTCTGGATCCTCAACTATTTTGCTGCATGTCATGAAGTTGCACAATTATGCGTCCGAAATAGTTAAATCATGAGAGAATTAACTTCAAAGCCATTTAGATCACGATTAACAAAACATCTTTTGAGTGAGTATAAAATAGCTTGGAGGCATTGTTCTTTCAGATAAATGACTATCTACCGTAACGATGAGCTTCCATGGGAAGATTTGTAGTTGTAGATGACAAAAAATCTTCTGTCTTGAGGCTTAGTTCATCAATCAGGATTTGTTATTATTAACAATATCTAATATAGGTCGTCTTTGTGGGTCTTTCTACTTGATTCATGGCCAGGTTAAAATTACTCTCATACACCTGAAAATACGTTTCAATCCGAGAACAAGAATATCCGATTGACTGCAATGCTTGCTAGATAAAAAGGACATTTAGAAAACAAGCAAAGACAGCTTAGCAGTAACAAAATTACTAGAAATTAAGTTCGTTATACAAACTAAACATCGGGAAAAAATGATTGCCCAATAAGCCCCGACAATTAGCTGTAGAAGTCCAGTCCGCAATCGAGCTCTGCTCGAGTTTTATTCAGTACTCAAAAAATCCCGGATACTCAGTCATTCAATCGTGAATTAAAAATCTGCTTTGCGAAAGATATCATTTTAAAAGCATCATCAAATGTTGTTATATTCCAATACAGCACATGCGTGTTTTTAGGTGTTGGTGGATCTGAGTTAAATGAACTTAGTGGTCTATGGGATGTTGTACGTGATGCCATCTCATACATACTGTATACAAGTGATACTGGAAAACATTGTGTGATGTAATACTCATCAGGCGAATCGAATGGTACCTTGGCTACTGATGGTTATGGTTCTGAAACTAACAGTAATCAGTTGTTCTATCCGTTCTCTATCTATTTCGATTCAACAGGGATGTCATAAAATCCATAACTCAGGTATCGAGATTTACAGTATAACTATTAGGATATTTGCTTAATGAACTCGAGGTACCCTTATACCGCTATATTAGCAATTTTGAGTCAGTATACTGCAACAAGATGAATCTTCGACTCGATACCCACATATTCATAAAATTGAGGATTTTGAGGAAATTGGGTGTAATGAGATAAATACCCAATTCGATATCCATATATCTATTAATTTGAGTTTTTTAAGTGACTGCGGTGTAACGAGTTGGGGATCTGCTTTGTTGGATATTGTGAATTGTAGCTCGTCGTTACCCAGCATATCGATATTATGACATCTCTGATCTGTACATACGTTGTATTGCATTTTTTTCGCACATTATCTCCATACTATTTTTTTTTCTTTTCTTAATAAAATATATATTTTAGCATGTGGATATATCTTAAAAAAACATATGGACTTAGCTCTTGAAGAAAAACCAAGCTCAATAGACTAGTCTGAAAATCAAAATACTAATAGCATTTTTTTTTAATATAGTTTTTTTTATTATTTTTTCATCAATTTTTGGCCAGTTTCTTTCAGTAAAAGTGACTTTCTCATTATAGTTCTTGAAACTTAAGATTCCTCATGTATTTTAACTATAACTATTCAGGCATGATCCTTCTGCATACAAAAGTTCAAAAGTTTTTGTCAATCTTATAAAAACTTATGCAATGCTACTCAAGAATTCTGTTTTGCCCTTTTTTTCTGTTTTGTTATCAAAATGTCACTGAACCACATGTGATTTGCCAACAATCGATCGCTATCATATTTCTATCAGTAATAGAACTAATCTAGTTCAACCGCTTAGAATGTCTCATAATTTTTGTTTTTGAAAAATGTATATACTTTTGATAAAAAAATCATATTTTTTTCATATTATGCATAATATATCTTTGAAGATATATGTAGTTTTCATAGATTATACTTTTCTCGATTGGTTAATGTTTTCTTACGTGAATACTTTTTTGTTGTGACTAGTATGATGATTTAAGACTACTGAAAAAGAATAAAAAAAATGTATTGTATTTCTAGAACAACTTTTTTTCACTCTGTTGTATAGACTATTAATTGACTGTCGCGTAGCCTCAGAATCGAGGTTGTAAACGACAGTAAACAACAAAAAAACTTACTATTGGATGCAACACGACCAAGAAATAATGACTTTTTTCGAAGAATCAAGATATATTTCATGGAACTCCGTCACACTCCACCGAAGTCAAATGAATGGAGTCCTATGGAATCTGTTGTTTTCTTCGTGATCCGACTACGTACATGTCATTCCTCGAAATGACTCATTTATTAAGGAATATTATTCATGATAAATACACCACCACTTTTATATCATTAAAAAGAAATGGGTCATCAGTGGCCCTTTCACAGTAAAATGACTTCCTCCAAATTTAACCATACCAACGTTATCATTTGTATCTGCATAAACTATTTCCATGATTAGTTCAACATTAACTGTATTGAAACAGTGTCAGAGAGTAAAGGATTAATTTATTCTTAGTTGTCAAATCCCTTGTAGTAACAAAATTAATTATTGGATGTTATCAAATTAATTGTGAACTAAAAAGCTTTCCATGGATCAAAGCAAATCGAATGAATAAAAACTTAGTTGATTCAATTTGAAGATTTTCTGAATGAACAGTCACTTTTACGATCGTTATCATATTTATTAATTTAATAAAATTTTTCTTATTCTATTTTTTATGAATTAATCTGGTCTTTTCACTAGTTATGTTCAGCTCGAATTCAAACTTTAATAGTACTAGCTTGCAGATCAAGTTATCCATTTGTCTTTCTGCAAAAACTCGATTTGTGTATCATAAATTATCATGTAGAAATCATTCTCATTTAGACACTACTAGAACATGAGTTCACAGATCATGCCAGTTGTATTATACTGCCTGTGTAAATTACATGAAAATAAACGTGAAATTATATATAATTGTTTTTCAAAAACAATAAATTTTACATTGTTTATTATTAGAATAACTATTTCTTTATTTCTGCAAAATAATCTTTATTCTTCCTAATTCATTGCTGTTCTTATTAATCGTAATGTTTGTGGTAAATATTGTCAGTGATATCAAGTCGTAGAATTGACATATGATATTAATAGGTTTTAATTAGTCACGAAACAATGATCAATAAAAGATTATATCATGATATCATTAATTATTTTA